TATATATATATATATATATATATATATATATATATATATATATATATGTGTGTGTGTGTGTGTGTGTGTGTGTGTGTGTGTGTGTGTGTGTATGTATATAAAGTATAATATATAATATATAACATGTTATATAACTAATTATATATTATATAATCATTAATATATAATAGAGATTCGTATGTGTACCATATACATACATATACATAACATACATATATTTATATATGTGTGTGTGTATGAGATAAATATATGATATATACCTCATATCTATATATGAGATAAACTAGTAGGTAGAGAATTTTGGCTTCTGTATTTGAAGAGCTCATAGACTAATTCATTGCTATTGATTCATTAAGCTTATGAACACTAGGCCAAGTGGCAAAGGCCTCCTTCATAAGACATGTCCAATTCTTGCTTACAGGTGATTGTAGTCATCCCTAGATTGCCTGAGTCAGCCTGTGTGTTGACTCTAGTCCTGTCTCACTGTGTGGGCAGATTTTTCCCTTTCTCAGAACTCTAGTCCTCTTTCCTGGCTTGGGCTAAATGATCTTTGAGGGTTTTGTTGTTGTTGTTGTGAACTCTTGGAGAATAGAGTTATTTGGATATCCAAGGATTTCCTAACTGGGTTTGAGTTGAGTCTCAGGATTAACTAAGTATCTCTCCTTTTCTCTTTCCTTCCAATAGGACAGCTCTTTCCTGGTGGAACAGAAATACCCTACATTACCCGGGAAGCTTTCGGGAGCCACACCCAATGGAGAAGCTGCCAAATCTACTTCTGCCACCTCCCAGCCCGACCCTGTAGGAAGCAACCTGCTAAGACTGAGTGAGTGTCCAACCCTTCAGCTAGTAGATGCTGGAGCAATGTTTTTGGCATTTCCAATTATTGTACAAGATACCTGTGCCTGCCATTGCAGCCCTTAATTGAGAATGTTAGGAGTGGGTGCTGGTACAGTTTGTACCTCACAGTAATCCCATTTTTACAGCTCCCTGCCTTGGCAAGGGAGGTAAATACCAGCATCCAAGAAAACCCAACCTGTATACATACTCTATTCTTCCCGGTTGTAATTAGTCCATCCCATTTTCCTCTATCTTCTGTTCCTCCTCTTTTGAATTCCTGCCTTTCCTTCCCATGATTCCTCTTTCCCCATCTTCTTAGATATCCTGTCACCCTTCCTGCCCCTCACCCTTCCTTCCTCTGGCCTCCTGGACTTTCTCTCCTTTCTTTGCCTTGTCTGAAGTCTCCCAGCAGGATTATAGTATGCACTTTTTAGGCAAATGAAGTCAGTGGTCAATGGGCAAAGATGTCAGCTCACAGGTATCCCTTTGGAGGTTAAGTCCTGAAACCATGAGGTCTTTGCTACTTTTCATCCAAAATAGATGATTTCTCCCCAGTAGCACCACAGATCTCATGAAGCCAAGGAAGGAATATTCTAGTCCAGCAGAGTTTCCCCTTCCTCTGACTCCTCTGCTCAACTGTTGCCTGAGTCAGCCTGTGTGTTGGCTCATGAAGGCCAGTTCTGCTGTGGCTACAGAAGCTCTAGATAAGCCTTTAAATGAGTGTATCCAGTAACAGACCTGGACTCACAGCAGCTCCAGATCATTCTAGTCTGACTGAATGACCTTTGATACCTGTGCAAGAGCTTCATGTGACCCAGGTTGTTTAGTCCCTGCTGTTCTCCTTCCCTTTCCCCACAGGTAGACAAATACCTCAGCCTGCCAGGAAGTAGCACCTAGCATTTGGCCCCTCTTTTGAGGCCTTCTTTCAGTTAATGACCCTGTAGGCTAGGCTGAGTCAACACTTACCCCATCTTTCTTCATGGGATTATTTTTCTTTTGAGTTTTTCTCTCTTGCTTGATGACACTCTTTTTTATTTCTTTGCTTCCCTGTAACTCTTTTGGGTTGGACTTTGGCCTCTCTTGTTTCTTCATGTGGCTTCTCTGCTTCTTGGTTGGCTGGAGATCGTGGCCGGAGTGTCAGTGCCCCTGTATTAGGTACTGTACCCGTACCAGGTGAGGTGGAGAGTGAGAATGCTTTTGCTTCCCATTTACCAATCCTTTTACTACTACCCCAAATGCTTGGCCATTGTCCCCTCCTGCCTGCATGCCTGCATATCCCTCTGAAAAGAGAACACAATCCTTGTTGAATAATCCACAAAAACTTAGACCCAAACCTTTTGAATTTGATGTCATTAGCTCACTCAGATTTGAAACACTGAGCTCACTGATGCCTTATCTGGAAAGCCTGGAGTGTGCCTGAACCTCTACTGGCCTCTGGGATACTGGTGTCAAGCTCTAAAGAGCTGGGTGGTCTTCTGAACTCCAAATCGGATGCCTGGGCTTAGGGAATAGGGGTCCAAAGGTCATTCCTCTGATTGACATATCATTCAATCTTTTCAACCACAGGAGACACAGAAAGCAGTTGGGAAAATGCTGCCATGGCCAACGAACTCTCTTCCAACTCATCGGGTGCTGAGTCAAGCCCCCAGTCCCCCCTGACACCAGATGGTAAACGGAGCCCCAAAGGAATCAAGAAATTCTGGGGAAAGTAAGTTGGTAGTAATGGGTTATAATCATATTGCTTGAAATTAATTTTCTTCTTGATTCGATAAAAAAATCTGTGTAAGTACTTGATCCATTAGACACTGGGACAGCAGTTAAAATGGAGCAGTCATGTTCAGGGTGAATTTGAGTTATTTTTACAGGGCCTAGAGAAGGGAAGATATATATGAAAGTTATCATATATATAAAAAGTTGATATATATTATATAAAGTTAATATATTAATATATAAAGTTAATATAGCCAGTGTCCTTACACATGTCATTCATTCTAGACATCCATCCCACACACCCCAATGATATTCACTTCAGCTTATCCTATATGGGTTTTGGGAGAGGAACAGATGGGACTGCAAAAATCTTTGAAGACAGAAAGCTGAGTTCTTGCTGGCCCGAGTGACATAGTCTATGAAATAGGCAGACACTGGAGCCTCCTTCCAGGCAGCAACCTTTAATTTGTCCCCCAAGGGGAGTGGCCCATCCCAGGCTTAGAATTGAGATGCAAGCCCAATGAAGGAACTGTCATAAGTCATGATCCTTGGTCTCTGGGGAGGCATAAGGAGATAGCATTGCACTGAGTCTGGACTGCATGGCCCTACCTGCAAAGGAGGGGTTACACTGCCTCTAGACTCTCAGGTCATCCCTGACAGTCTGCACGGATTCCTCTCCATGCAGAATCCGAAGAACTCAGTCAGGAAATTTCAACACTGATGCACCAGGGATGGCAGAGTTTCGACGAGGTGGGCTTCGGGCAACTGCAGGACCAAGACTCTCTAGGACCAGAGATTCTAAGGGACAGAAAAGGTAAGGCTCCTTTCAGTCTATCTACAGAGAGCTACATGAAATTTTTCCTGGAATGGAGTGGGACAAGGGACTGGATGTCCCAGAGCCTCCAGAGATGGATGGGAGGAACCCTTCATGCAGAGCTTCTTGACTTGCCCATTTGACACTTGTCAACTTTGCTCATGCTGATAGATAAGATACTGAGGAGAAGGCAAGAGGCTCTCTATAGTTGGAGATGGGGTGGTGGTGGTGGTAGGAGTGCCTAAAACAGTTCTGCATATCTATAATCCATTATCAGCAATACCTTTGCACACTGGATTGAGAAGCTTTGTTGAAGCCATTAAGAGCACAGTTCCTAGAATCCCAGACACAGGTTGTATTCTCTGCTCAACCACTTCCTAGCTAAGTTATATAACCTCTTTATTCATCATTTTCTGGTTTGTAAAATGGAGATAAAATATGAGTATTTTATTAAGAAATTCTTATGAGGAATACATTTAAACCAAGCACCAGCTGTCTGCCACACAAGAGTCAACATCCCCTAGTCTATTTGGAAAAGAGAACCTCCTCTTACTGCCTGTGGGCAGCCCACTCCTTCCACAGACTCCACAGGAGAGTGTTAATGGAGCAGGTTGCATCTTCCATTATCCCTCATAATCTCACTGTGCCACATTTTACCAAGGGATGGTAATCGCTAAAGCATGAGTGGCACTGGAATCAAAATGGTGAGTTTTACATCATGCCCTAATTAAAAAAAAAACAAAAAACATAAAGAACCTTAAGCTTTTCTAGAGGTGTCCTTGGTGGACACTTTCTTTACCTCCTTTCCATAGCTTTCCTGCTCTGAGAAAGTGTCTCCCTTCAAACCTAAACAGGTTAATCTTTATTCCTGTTTTGGTGAAGCCCCTTTTTCTATCTTTGTGCTTTGTTAATTTTGATACTTCACATCCAGCAGAATATCTCCTTAGGTCTAAGTTACAGAGCTAAAGTCAGTTCTTCTGGAGTCTTCTGAAGGATTGGATTGTGCCATTTAATCTAACCAAAAGGGGAAAAGTCGGGCTAACTGTCTTGAGTTTAGTGCCCTTGAGATTGCCATATACTAGTGTGAAGTCCAGGTAATTATCAGATAAAATGTACATAACTCAAAAATTAGTTCTCAGAAATAATGCAGTCTAGATTCCAACTGAAGGGAAGAGCATTTCCCTAAATCCGTCCTATTGTTTACAGTAGTACATCCCCTGTGGAAGGGAACCATAGCTTATTTTGCACATATATGAGATACTTTCCTCCCCAGCTTGCCATGGGCAGGTTTATAGATTTTGTCAGGTCTTCACTCAGGTGTTTCCCAGAGTGGGGCTGCATAGTGGGGGAATCCATTTGCATTCTGCAAGTCACTTTAGAGTAAGGGGTAACCAGTGTCAGAAACCTCTGCCAAAGGAAAAAACTGCCATTCCAGCCACAGAGCTGCTTTGTTAGAATGTCTTTGTGCTTTGTTAATCGTAAACAATGGTTGATAAAGGGAATGGGAGTGAAGAGTCCTGATGAGATTGCTGTTTATCTTAACAGTGCTTATGGTAACAAAGATGAATTTGCTGGGAGAAAAGAAAGGCCTTTATTACCCTGAAGCAGAAATTTGATAGAATTATATGCTAATGTCCTCTAGTATTTATAGATATCAAGGCAAAATCTTTAAAAAATGTGTCAATAATATTATTGGAGGAAAAGTACTTTATTAATAATAGCTTCCAGCCCAAATTCTTCTTTTTCTGATAACAAATTATTTTTTAAATAGGTAGTTGATAATAACATTTTGTTGGAGCACTCTCTGATTACAGATGAACAAATTTTATTTCTTTTCCCCCAAAGTACAGTTTTATGGATTTTTACATCCAGATAGCACTGCTGGGAATGGGGAGCCTGTCACCCATACATCCTAGTCAGTTTAAAAGTTTCAAATTTTTCTTTGTTCAAATTTCTCTTTTACAGACCTCCAAAAAAAATTAAAATTTTATTGTTAATTTTGTTTGCATTTTAAATCTTCTTTTGTGAACTATCTGTATTTTTCCAATTTTATTTAGTCATTTTTATTTTGTTTACTTTATTTGCACTAAACATGCATACATGATTTTTAAAAATTTAGCATAAGAGGTTTTTTGTTGTTTTTCTGCCCTAGGAAAAAGACATTAAAGTGTAATGATTAATGCTAACAGATTCTAGAGCCATAGACTGGATCCCATCTTTATGGAGGGGTTCTCTGAGCTGATCTACTGAGGGTATTGCCCTTCAAGACTCGCGGGTTTATGAAGAGTCTCCCTCCAATCACATCACTGCCCTACTGATGGTCCCATTTGTGTGTGTGTGTGTGTGTGTGTGTGTGTGTCTTTTCCCCACACTTGTGGTCAGAGTCATATTTCATGATTATAAGGAAGCTACCAGGGCATCTACTTTATGGGCCCATTCCAGGGTCCAGAGAAAATCAATCAATGTGTTGACAGGGCTAAGTGTTTTGAAAGTTTTACATATATAAGGTATTTTATTTTATTTATTTTTTCATTACATTACTTATTGCACATATAGAGCACTATTTTTCGTATCTCTTTATATACAGTATGTTCATGCCAACTTATGCCATTATACATGTACCCTTTTTTTGCATTACAATTCTTAATACACATATGTACCACCATTTTTCATATCTTTATTTGTATATAAGTATGTTGGCCCCAAATTCAAATCTTCATACATGTATTTTGTATAAGGATGACCATCACATTCCACCATCCATATATAAGGTATTTTAAACACAGTGTTTAGACTGATGAGTCCTTTTATTCCAGTTTTCCCTTTGTCTATAGTTTTCCTTTTATCAGATGATGATGGACTAGACTTAGGGATCTTTGAGAGCTAACTGGTTTAGGGGAAATTGAGTTTGGGGATCCAGTTCAGGTTGAGTAGGATTTGTGGATGTAACCTGCCATCACTCCATAGTTTGTTCAGTTGGGTTTAGTTAACTAGCTATCCTAGCATAAAAAAGCGTCAGTGCTCACTCCTACTTCCCATTTTGCTTGTTGCCCAGAACTAAAGATGCAAATTAGAAGTAATGTTCCAAAACAAATGTGTCCTCTAGCATTCCATACCAGAAGTACGGGATAGTGGAAACAAAACCGTATTTTAGATGTAACAAAGCCAGAAGTTAGTCTGTGGAAATTCTTTCCAGTCATCAGATCTGCAAAATCTTAAGCAGGAGATTTGGTTCTCTTGAGTGCTTAGTCAAAACAGAAATTCCCTCCTGTCAGGAATGTACTTGCTAATGAAGTGTATGCACTTATGAATGTGCCATGCCCTTTCCCCTATCATGGAGGTGGCATATTTGATAATCTCAGTATATCATTTTAACAGCAATTTGGAAAGATGTTTTGGAATGTGTCAATAAAATAAGTTGTTTGGCTGTGTATGAGAAGTACCTTCTCTGTCATTTCTAAATGATTTCCTTAGCATGTTCAGCCATATTCCTGGCAGAGGGGATGGGGGGATCTGGCTTTGACAGAAGCTGAGGAGTTCTGGGTCTGATACTGTAGGAACAACACAAGGCGGGGTAGGGAGGGTATACACAACAATAAATGAGAAGACTACCGAAATGAGGACCAGAACTCTAGTTTGGTTGAAACATCTGAAGGACAGAAGTTTTCAAATTATGATCTCAAAAATTCTTATTTCCTCCTTCAAAACTGAAATGCCTCTCTAATATATACAATTTCTGTTTTTTCCCCACAATTTCCAGAAATGAGAATATGAGTGAAATAAAACCCTAATAACATGTGAAATAAAAGTGATAAAATGAGCATTGGAACAGAGAAATTGTTCTCATATTAAGAAACAAATTATAAATGACAACAAAAAATGTTAGACCATATCAAAAGCAGTAAGTGCAAGAAATAAATTTCAAATAGAAATTGTAAATAAGTTTTCAGGTATTATTTATATAAAGTGAATCATATGAACACATTGTAAAAAGACTGAAATTTCTTGCCGATTTTACATTTTATGCTAACATCAGCAAAGATAAAATAAAACTTAAGCTACTGTCAAAAGAGCATGGACAACACATCAATTAATGAATATTGACAATTTGAAGAATATTTAAGATTAACCATGACAATAGAAAACTTGAATGCTAGAGGTCATGTTCTAAAATGAATGTGTCCTCTAGCATTCCATACCAAAAGTATGGGATAGTGGAAACAAAACCATATTTTAGATGTAACAAAGCCAGAAGCTAGTCTGTGGAAATTCTTCCCAGTCATCAGATCTGCAAAATCTTAAGCAGGAGATTTGGTTCTCTTGAGTGCTTAGTCAAAACAGAAATTCTCTCCTGTCAGGAATGTACTTGCTAATGAAGTGTATGCACTTATGAATCTTTAACATTCATATGTGAGAGATACTTGATAGAAGTTTTCCTAAATTTAATCAATGATTCTAAAAATGTGCATGACAATACCAATTACAATTACAAATTGTGAAGCTGAAACTTTTTAAAACTCTCATAATTATAAAATAAAATATTGACAGTCATCCTAGAAGAAAGACTGACTCAACCTCCATCCTACTCCATCATCTCCAGGGTTCTAGAATGGTGTTTTCTTGTCATTCTGGCCCTTTAAGAAATCCTTTCCCTTTAAGAACAGCTCAGCCAGGTATTCAAAAAATGTATTCCTGTATGTTAGGGGTGGGGGTCAGCTCTCTGTATTAAGTGGTTTTGCATCTGTACATTAAGCCAACTGAGTACTGAAGATGTGGTTAGATCTACAATGGTTTGCACTGAACATGCACACACTTTTTTCTTGCCATCATTTTCTAATAATGCAGTATAACAACTATTTGCATGGCATTTACATTATATTAGGTAATGTAAATAATCTAGATATGACTTAAGTTTATGGAGGATATGTGTAGGTTGTATGTAAATACTACTCCATCTTATGTAAGGGACTTGACTCCCTCAGAATTTGCTATCTGCAGGGGGTCCTAGAACCAATTTCCTGTGGATACCAACAGACAACTGTACTTTCCTAGAAAGAAATCTTTGTGAATATTTAGTCTTTTATATTCCATAAATCCCCATTTATTTTTAAAAATGAACATAAAGTTACTTTGTCCACTGCCTGCCACAAAGTTTCTTTTGGGATTTTGAATGTTCCATTATATTCACACTTTAAATGAAAAATTGATGTCTCTAAGAATGGTTGGTTTTAATGTCTACTCATCCTGTCGGAACATGATCTAACTCTTCATTTATTCATGTCTTTTTTTTTATGTTGCATAGTTGAGTGTTATGGCTACTATATCACCCCACTCTACCCCCTTGTGATCCCCACCCCATCACAATCACATACACAGGTACACACATTCCTTGTTAAGGCAATGTCTAGGCCGTTTATAATTTTGGTTTGTATGGGGGAGAATTTTTATTGTTTTAACAAATGCTTTAGTAGCTGTACATGGATACTGTGTAGAAATTGATTGATTTTTGCTTGTAATATACATATTACATATGTATATATGTGTATGTGTGTGTATTTTATTACTAGTCACCTTATTGAGCTCTCTTGAGCTTTCCAGGCAGGCAGCCCTCATCTGAAAAGAACTATTTTCTTTTATGTCTACCTTTCTAGTAGCTATACTTCTTACTTTTATTTATTCTAATAAACATTATAATATTTTGGATGCAATCCTCAGAATACTGTTGTTATTATTAATAAGTACTTATAAAAATATATTGTCTCTTTGTTGATTTTTAATATGAAAGTCCCTAGTATTTTATTAATATTAGCTATTGTTAATTGGAGGGCTGTTGATTTTTTTTTTTTTTTTTTTTTTAATGTTAGAGAACCGATTGTCTTTTTCCAACTTTCTAAGTATTTTCCTTAAAAAGAGTGTTGAATCTTGTGGACAAAATGAGTTAGTTTTAGGTGTTCTTCCTAATAGGGCCATGCTCTGGGATTGTGACATGTTGAGGTATATGTGGACCTATTGACTGCAGTCTCTTAAGGATTATGTCAGCTATCTCGTTCTCTAAGTAGCTGGATTTGAAACTCATTTGTTATGGAGGGGACTTGAATGTACCTCATGTGAGTGTGTTGTTGTGGAATTTCCTTCAGCTATAGCCCATGGTTAGGTTGTTTGTTAAAAGGTAGTTCCTTTTTGATGAGGCTTTATTATACGCAGAACCTCAGACTCTCAACTTACAAAAGTATACTGTTTCCCTGCTTCCCAGTGATGCCAATGCCCCCTTTGCCCAGTGGAGCACAGAGCGTGTATGTTCATGGCTTGAGGACTTCGGCCTGGCTCAGTACGTGATCTTTGCCAGGCAATGGGTGACATCTGGCCACACTTTACTGACAGCTACCCCTCAGGACATGGAAAAGGTAAGAACTGAGCCCAGGGAAAGGAGGCTGTTATTTCTCCCTAGACCAATTCATGGGAAGGTGAAGGCCCCCCACTCCATATACACACAGGAAGATGGGCAGGAAGGCTGGGATTTCCTTAGTAACTGCAGGTTGACATCCCAGGGTCTTGTGCACAGATCCCCTGCCACACTCTTTAGAGCATCTCCACCCTGACACAACATCCTCTGGAGATCAAATTGTCTGCCAAAATTTTACATCTGGTCTTCATCTTGCAATTTCAGGAACTAGGAATTAAGCACCCTCTTCATAGAAAGAAACTTGTTTTAGCAGTGAAAGCCATCAACACCAAGCAGGAAGAGAAGTCTGCGCTGCTGGATCACATTTGGGTGACACGTAAGGACAGGCATATATGTATTAAGTATGTATCTGACTGTTCCTAAGGGTAAAAAGAATTTCCATGTTGAATGTGTGCCTCAAAGATAGCTGTGTCCTTGTGAAAGGCAGATGGATTACTAAATCTTCTGAAAAAAACTGGAACCTCAAAATGATAATTGTTGCTCCTATTCTCAGGAATCCCAACACATCTATTTTTTTTTTTTTCTGTATTTATAGGGTGGCTTGATGATATCGGCTTACCCCAATATAAAGACCAGTTTCATGAGTCCAGAGTTGATGGACGAATGCTGCAATACCTAACTGTGGTGAGGACTTTTCCTTTAAATATTTCAGTTGTATCTGTGAGCATTTGGCTCAGATATGCCCATGATTGTTATTTTAAGCCTGATTCCATCTTATTCTGAAGTCCTTGAAATAGTATTGATTGTTACATAAGATATCCCCAGTAGCAGAGTACAAACCATTGTGATAAGAGAAACTGTTGGTATGTCCATAATGCACCTTCCTGAAATGTGGAAGTCTTTTGTCTGTTTGGCCAGACCAGGAAGGACCACTGGAGTCTTGTTACTTTGGAAACTGGCTCATCAAAACTTTTCTTTTCCAGAATGATTTACTCTTCTTAAAAGTCACCAGCCAGCTACATCATCTCAGCATCAAATGTGCCATTCATGTGCTGCATGTCAACAAGTTCAACCCCCACTGCCTGCATCGGCGCCCAGCTGATGAGGTGAGGGCAGGATAATAGCTATGCAGGGAGCCCTGAGCCAGGACACTTGAAATATCCTGTGTGAAAAAATAAGATTTACATAATCACAAAATGCTGCATTTTGGACTGTGGTGCTTGGGATTCTGGCACCCAAAACACCCATGTTACTTGTACTTTTGTGTTCCATTGTGGCCACTAAACCTCCAAATCTTCCACTCTCCCTTACATTACAAATGTAATGTCTGTGGCAACAAGTTTTTCAAAGTCATCATAATGATTACAGGAGATGATGCAAAGGAAGGGGGAAGAGATACACAAAGTGGAAATTTGAGTGTCAGGCAGAGGACAGGAAAAAACAGAGAAAAAGGGACAAGGAGCCCTACAAAATCATACACTAAGAATAGTTTTTCCTACTTGTATATATACAAAATTAAACAATGTTCAGGTCCAGATATACAGAATCCATGAGCAGGTCTTAGTAGAGAAGAAACATTACAGATAAACACAGCAACCCAAATGATATATTTGATATTGTTCCATGAACCTCAGGGTTCTTGGTGGGCCCCAAACTGAAGTGTTGTCAGTTACATCCCACCTCCTCTGTTCCTGGAAACTTTGTCTACCTCTGCTTCCTGGGGGATTAATGACTCTTAACCTCTGTTCTCCACCTCCTGTTTTCTCGGTATTCAACAAATATACTTTGCTTGCCCAGGCACAGTGCTGGGCATTTTAAAGTATCTTGATGTGTGTTCCCTGTTTTAGTCAGCTTTTCACTGCTGTGATTAAAAGACCTGATGAGAATAATTTTAGAGGAGGAAAAGTTTATTTGGGGGCCCATAGGTTCAGAGGTCTCAATTCCTTGAGGCTTAAGGTGAGGTAGGACATCATGACAGAAGAGTGTGGTGGAGGAAAGTGGCTCATATGATGATCAGAAAGTAGAGAGAGACTCCACTAGCCAGATAGAAAATATGTACCCCAAAGCCATGCCCCCAGTGACCCACCTCCTCCAGCCGCACATTATCCACCTTCAGTTACCACAGAATTAATCCCTTCAGGGGATTAATTCACTGTTTTAGGTTAAGGCCTTCCTAACCCAACCATTTGTCCTCTAAACCTTCTTGCGTTGTCTCACACATGAGCTTTTGGGGCACACCTCACATCTAAACCATAACATTCCCCTAAACAATTGTCCACAAAAAGATCTTTTTCTTTATAAAACACTTTTCTCATAAGTGAATCTTTAAAATTATGTTGAATAATTGAATGAAAAACTACATGCCTTTATTTATTTTTCCCAAAGTTAGCCGGAAAATTAGGGAGAAACAGGATTCTGCATTCAGATGTCTTAGTGTAGAAGATCATGTAAGATCCAGTAAGAGCTGTTTCTCAGAACTGAGAAGGCTCTCAGGGAGGCAGTCTGGCTGGCCTGGGTTGTTAGGCACAAGGGTCTTCTTTTGGTGAGGCTTCTGGGGCAGATTCATTCACAGGGGATGACCCCACAGAGGACTGTGGTAGGACCAATGAAGTCTAATGTCTTCACTCTTCTTCCTCTCACAGAGTAACCTTTCTCCTTCAGAAGTTGTGCAATGGTCCAACCACAGGGTGATGGAATGGTTGCGATCTGTGGACCTGGCAGAGTATGCACCCAACCTTCGAGGGAGTGGTGTCCATGGAGGTCTTATTGTGAGTTGCACTCTGGGCTAGCCCAGTTGCTTTGATGTAGACTTGGGTATTCAGAAACTAATTTTCTGAGGGCCAAACATATATTCTAGTTAAAAAAAAAAAAAAAAGATACTTCATCTGAAACCTTTATAGAATCTGAAGTTTCAAAATATTTGATAATTTGTGGGTAAGAATTAATATACCCCATGGAAACAAGATAACTTCTGGAAGGGCTTCCTCCACTACAGACCGAGAGATCCCAGGTTAGTGGGAATGCATGAGAATCAGACCTACACAAGTCAGCTTTACCTGCTTCTAGACGAACAGGGGGACTGGGAAATGAAGGGGAGGTCATCAAATGTAATTTCCTGCTTGCCATGATATAATCCTTATCACAACTCAGATCTGTCAAGTGGCAAAGCCAGAGAAGAAATATGGAGATGGTGGTGTGGATGTTTGGAGGTGGTGGTTTGAACATATAAGGTTCAAGACTTGTAAGAGACTGGGAGACATCCTAAAGAGGTCGCTGTTCTCTGTTGGTCTGTGAAAATGAGATGGTCACTTAACAAATATGCTAGTGTCTGCTCAAAGCCAAGCCTCGTCTGGGTAGAGAGAGGAAAGTAGGACATAGAACAAGGGTATGAGCTTCAGCCTAATTTTGAAGGCACCCTAAGGCCCTGAAGGCCAGTTTCTCCCTATTACTTACTAGGTATCATCTGTTGCCACTGACTAAATTTGTCTATGATTCTTTTTTAGATCCTGGAACCACGATTCACTGGGGATACCCTGGCCATGCTTCTCAATATCCCACCACAGAAGACGCTCCTCAGGCGCCACCTGACCACCAAATTCAGTGCCCTGATTGGTCCTGAGGCTGAACAGGAAAAGAGAGATAAAATGGCCTCACCAGCTTATACACCACTGACTACCACGGCCAAAGTCCGGGTGAGTTGTTATACTCTTTCTGGGTTACCCCTGGGGACTTCCTTCTGGCTGTCAGGTCATACAGCCACTGGCTCAGTACATGGAGCCAGATCAGTGTATACATTGAGAACCAGGAGCAGCACTCAGCTTCTGCTGCAGGAGTTTGGTCTGTTTGTCTTCATTAGGCCTACTGCCTACCTGTCCTAAGTCCAAGAAAGAGAGCACAGGGTTTTTTACACAGAGGCCATGTTCAGGAAGCATCTATTCTCAGGTAGCTGGGAGCTTGTCCTCTACCCAGTGCTACTGTTACTCATTTTGCACAGCAGATGAGTTCCTGATCTGGATTCCCTTCCATTAGGCCCATCTGTGTGCCACAGTGCAGGGGACTCAGTCAAAGCTACCCTGACAGCATGGGGAGTGCTCCTGTTGCAGCTGGTTCCACTTGTCCTGTTCTGTGATGTGGCCTGCACACAGCTGTCCCATATCCCTAATCTGAAGTCATCCAAGTACCAAGACCAAGCATCTGTGGGCTCCCTAAATCCCACAAAGCCCTTCCTGAGCCACAACATCCCCACCATGTCCTTCCCAGATCACAGGCCCACAGACTCACTCTCTGGAAGCCAGGTTGGCCCCTCCCCAGCAGGCATGATGGTGCCTCACAGCACAGCTCACAGCTTAACCTTCTTTCCTAATGAAGCACAACAGCAAGTATCTGGACTTTCTGAGGGGGGAGTCCAGTGCTGGGCAAAGCTAAAGCAAGAAGGAAGACCAACCCAGGGCATCTGGTGTGGCTCTCAAAGCACTGGTGTCAAAGGCACTGGGTGCTGCTCCCTAGTGTGCTGTCATCAAATGTGTTGAGGCAAGTCCTCCATGCTTGGCCTCAAGTGCAGGCTGGTGTTCAGTAGGAACTGAGTCCATCTGGGAAAATAGGAAAGTTCCTGGGAAAATAGGACAATGGGAACGAGTTTTCCCACAGTCTTGGAGGAGCAGTTCTTGTTAGGATTATTTATCTTTTGATCTTTCCTCAGCATAGAAATTGCCTACAGGACCTGTTTGGTTCAGTTTTTTCAAGAAGCACTTTGCCTTAGTTCTTTCCTCCTAGGACTGTTCTTAAATATATTGTCGGTCATATCTGCACACTGGAGTAGTAATCTTTCCATAATCTTGTATTTGCTGTATTTTAGCCAAGGAAACTGGGATTTTCACATTTTGGAAACATAAGAAAAAAGAAGTTTGATGAATCCACAGATTACATTTGCCCAATGGAATCTAATGATGCTATCAGTGATAGTCACCGGGTCTACAGTGGCTGCCGAGGCCTCAGCCCCCTTGATGCTCCTGAACTGGATGAGTTGGACCAGGTGGGACAGGTTAGCTGATGCTTGTCACCTGCCCTCTCTGTGCACCTGAAAACACAGTAACACCACGTGTGCCATCATAACTGCAACCTCACCCCCTGCTCATGTGCATGACTTGCAGAGAACATTCCAGCAATTATATAGCCCTAGGTCAATCTCTCTTCATACTTTGAAGAGGCATGCTTTGGGGACTGTTGTCAAAGGTGGACTCAGGATGAAAAACCCTTTAAGATGCTTTTACATTTTTAGTAATTTTAAACAGCCAACTTCAGCACCACCAGATATGCATGAACTTAGACACAGGTCCAGAGGCTATGAACAATCCCCAAAGACTCAACTCTCAGGCATTTCCCCTGTGCTGCTGTTAAAAGAAAAGCTCAAGTGCCTTATGCCTATGGACCAGAGAATCTTGGCTGAGATCAAAGAGACAAATGGCAGGGACTTCTGCGGTGGTGACAGTGTAATTGTGTTATGTCTTTCTCTACAGAGGTAGTTGCTTCTTTCTGATAATAAAAACAATATTTATGTAGGAAGTAAACAGTGCAACATATTTTTAATCTTGTTGGGGGAAGAAAGGTGAGCATGGCTGGAAATGGAACCCTACTGATTGTAGCTTAAAAGCCTGTGGCACTGAGCCCAATCCAGGTACACAGTCAGGATTCCCCAAGGGGGATGGAGCAAAGAGGGACCCCTTTTTCCTCTTTGTATCCTTCAGAGAGGACTGCCTCAGGCCCCACCTCCCTCAGTGAAGCAGAGGGGAAACTTGGGTCTCATGCACATCCTGGCTATAGGTCACATCTGCTGTGCAGACCCCAAGTTGGTTTCCAGTTCACTAAAGGAGGGTAGGGGTGACAAGTAGGGATGCCTTGCTGGCAACACTCTCTGTTCCTTCACGTGTTCTGCCAGCTTCTCATAACTGTTGTGGGGGATGGTTCGCCTGGGCTGGCAGGGCTGAAGCAGATCTGGCCTCTTGATTTAGAGGCTGACTAGCTGATAATGGGCCCTCCAGATGGGCTCTGTCTGGCCAGAGACAGAGAGAGACATGTGGTGCCAGGCTGAGCTCCTGCTCTTGAGATTCCAGTTCACCCCAGGCCAGTGTTTGGCTTCACTGGGTCCCTTGGGCCTCATCTACAGAAGAATAACAGCAGTGTCATAATCATCTGACAGTGGGGCAGGGCCAGTGACTCCATTGTAGCACTCTGATTCTGTCCCAGATGGAAAGGCTGCTAAGATTTGCTTCTTATACCACCAGCAGCCTCAGACATGGCCTATTCCCTCAAACCACCACCTCCCCTGAGGTCCAGCTAGTGAGAAATGTAGATACAAGCTTGTCAGCTGGGAACACTGGTGTTCGATCCTGGCACTCAGGGCAATTGAATGGCACTCACTCCTCCAGGCTGATCCCTGGCCATTGTGGCTGTACAGCCAGTCAGGCCAGCTTTATCCCTTATTTCTTTGTTATCATATCCTGGTGAGAGACTTTGCATGTGCCTGTTTTCAAACCCTGCATGGAACTGTTTTGCCACTAATTCTCTCTGTAGCCGCATGGAAGTCCTCTTTTCCCTTTGTGGGCCTCAGTTGTTCCACCTGTTAAAAAAAGGGTTTCACTTGATATCCTACAAATCTATAAAGAATGCTTCCAAACCTACAATGTCTAAATCACCTTAGGGAAGGAGAAGTCCAGCATTACCCAAGGAAGAGGGGAGGGGAGGGGAGGAAGGCTCCTCAATAGGGAGGAGGCAGCAGCTTCCTGAAGATGTCCATCTACACTGGGGCATCGGTATCTGGCGTCCTGTTGGTACCTGGAAATTGTCATTCTATCCAGCATCCTAAAGGCCTGCTATTCTCTTCTCCTGGAATTATCTGGAACAGTGAACACGTGCAGCAGAGCTGCTTCTCACAGACTATACCTGCGCCCTGCTTCTCTGTGCCCTAAATGCTGATGTGACATGTGGCCTCATGAAAGTGTGTGCATGCAGTGTGGGACATTGGACACATTTCCTCAGCAACAGAAGCAGCACGTACCCCAGCACTTGCCACTTCTCAAGGCTTGGCACACTCCTTGCCCAACCCTCCAGGGAAGCATGCTCTGGAGAAGCCAGGCCTGAGCAGGATGGACATTGCATGCTGTCTCTGCAAGTTACAAGCTGCATCTGTGTGTGCTGACCAGGCTGCTGCCCATTTTACAGATGGCGCCTTCCGAAGGCACTGTGACGCAGATAGGGCTCCTCTCCCAAGACATTCATCGCCTTACGGTAGGACTCAGACCCCCATCCCCCAACCCTACCACAACACAGTAGGGCTGGTGCCTGAAAAGGCCCAGTGAGCTTGGTGGGCTGCTGTTCAAGGATAAGGGAGAGTAAAGGATTGTGCTGGGCCCTGAGGCCACAGCCTAAGCCTGAGTCAGCCCAGAAAGACAGAAAGCAGCCTAGGGGCCTCCTATTGAGTCACTAATGGGCATCTGAAAGCTCACAGACCTTTAGCTATAGCCAGGTAAGACATACTAGGTCTACGGTTCTCTTCCCCACCTCAGAGCTGGTGAAGAAACTTAGATGTTCAGCAGCCCTTAACCATCTGTGTAGTCAGCCCAGAGCCCAGCCCTCACCTCTGGCCTAGTGGACATGGTTCTTTCCTCTCTGGACATGAGACACATGCATTTCCCATCATCATGGACATCACAGGCAAGCTAGCATATACTGCCATATACCCAAGAGAACAAATCAGATCATGTGGAGGCAGGCAGCTCAGTCTCAGGGGAAGAGGAGCAGCTTTGGAGTAAGGCAGATTCATCTGCTTTTTACCTTAGGTGTGTTGTTCCCTATCTGAGCTTTGGCTTAGTTACCTGTATTTCCCATTTTGCAAGGGTTATAGGCAGATAAGAGCTGGCAATAAAATGGCCAGTTACAGAGCACAAATTGTCTTTGAGGCCCCATGCCTTCCAGACCTTTTAGTTTCTTTAGAGCCCATCCCTGGCCTGGTAGCTATAGTGTCTATCAACACTGAGTCCCCTGTCACTGTACTTTGCTTGCTGATCTACTGAGGCATGTTTAGAAGACTCTGTCTAAGGGCAAGGCAGGAGTCTTCTGGATCCAAGCAGGTCTCTTCTCGTTTCTTGGCTCACACATCACAATGGATCTATCCAACCTTGCCCTATCATCTCTAATAGGCCTTTTGTGGCCTTGAAATAGCAAGTTTACCTCTAAGATGAGCAGTTTATTTTTACCTTAATAGTACTGTCTATTCTGACCCAATGTTCAGGGTCCCCGGGATACCAGGAACTTACAGGCATCTGTCAGACCATACCGAGTGCCCCCTCTGCTCCCTATGTAGCTGTTGTAGGGAAGCCTTGGCCAAAACTATTAAACTGCCCCTTTGGCTGTGTCGTTTCAGACTCTTTTGAGCCAGGACCAGCTGCTGAATGACTCTTGCCTGGCTGCCCCCAACTCTGATGACTGGAGATGACATTCTTCATGGCCGAGAGCCCAGAGAGGCACATGTGGGGCCCTAAGTCTTTGCCTCAATGGGGAGCTGGCACACAGCCATCTGTACTATGCAGATGGAGCTGGTGGGACATCTCAGATGTGGGTGCTGACAAGCAAAGCAGAATGGTGGGACAGGTGTCCAGGAGGTGGCCCTCATGTTCCTAAGTGTTTTCAACTGTGCTGTGTTCTTTACTGAAGCTTTTCTACCTTTTGTACTTTTATACATGGACTACAGACCACTTTGTGGGGAGTGCAATGAGATATCAGTGCATGGACTCAATGGCTCATGCTGTTCCTGGTGACAGCTGGGAGGCTCTTACACCAAAGGGGAAGAACTGTTAGTCATAAATCCTCTGCTGGAAAAAGAAAAAGAAAGTTAGGAAAAAAAGTGTTCTGAATGTTTTATAGTGATTGAGTGGGGTGAAAGCACTATGGGAGCTCTCTCTGGGCTGCTTAACAGGAGCATCTTTTCCATTCACAGAAATCTGGCTGAGGAGGGTATTCAGGGCAAGAGCTGTGGGGATCTTCTGGGCCTCCCACTGTTTGCACAGAGGAGTCCCCAACACACACACACACACACACACACACACACACACACACACACTCCCTCATCTCATCCTGACAGAGTGTACCAACCTCTGAGGCCTTTCCCTCATTGTCCTCAAGCGGAATGTCTGCTTAAACAGCTCCCCCCAGTGGAAAGCGTCTGCACACCCTAAACTCATTTCTACTGGAACTCATCATCTTCCCAAACAAGCTGTGCCCTTTCTAATGTGTCCCATTTCAGAGAGCTGCCACTAAGCCCCAGTCAGTGTCCTCTCCCCAACCAGCCCCTTCCTCCCTCCCACCCCCATGCTCTAGTTTCAGCCTCATCTCTCATCTGATTGTTGCAGCTGGTCTTCTTAATTCCTCATCATTCCAGTTGGTCCCCTCCAGACATTTCTCTACCCCATCCCCATGATGACCTCCCAAAACACTGTTTTAATCCTATCATTGTTCAGAACTCCTGAGTTAAATTACCACAGATGAGCATCCCAGTTCCTTCTCCATTATCAGCCATTCTGAACCCACTGTTGAGTCTTCCCTCCCTCCAGGCCTTTGCTTAATCCTTTCCCTCCCTGTGGCATCCATTTTTCTCCCAGTCCCCTTCATGAAGCCAAATGTTGCCTGTCAAGGACGAGCACAGATACTACCTCTATGTCCCTCAGGAAGCTTTTACTCTTATATGGGTAAGCCCAGTCCTGACCTCAAACTGCTTCTTGATCAGGTTCCTGCTGACCAGCATCCTTGATCTCTACACTAGATGCCAGCAGCACCTTTCTTCTAGTTGTGAAATCAAAATGTCTCCATATTTTGTCAAATGTTCCCACAATAGAGGAGGGACAAAACCCCCCATTTGAGAACCATTGGGCTAGAGAATGAATCAGAGAAGGGAGGTCCAGGAAATAAAAAATCTAATGAGGTCAGCAGGAGCCCAATCAAGAAAGATCTTGCAAACTAGGCCCCTGGAATATGTCACAGAGACAGAGGAGTGGCCAGGGTGGGTAATAGAGTACAAGCAGAGCAGGGTTTAAAGTAGGTAGGTAACAAGCATGGTCAGATCTGCAATTAGAGCAAAACCTGAGGTCAGGATCTTATGGTAAAGTATCCAGCAGAGGTGTCATTCCCTGAGCAGGAGATTCCCAGAAGACATGCTGAATGGGTAGGTAGATGAAGCCTGGCCAGCCCTTCCCTTCAGACCTCCCACAGGCCTTCTGTGAGACCATTCCAGTGTATGGCCCCCTGTGGGCAAGACAGCTGTACTGCAGAGAGTTCCCTAGAGCTGCATTCATCTTCTGTGCTCCTTCTGCCCTTCCTATTGTCCTGCATACACATATACAGTGGGTAACAAATCCAGTGGTACCAAGGTCAGTACTGCTTCCATTATGTCAGTTTTTGTGAAAAGAGGAATAACTTGGAATAAAACAGACCCATTTTTAAAGTCAGCTGTGCTACCTACTGGCTGCACACTTAGTGGGAACACTTAATTTCATAACCTGTTTCCTCATCTGCAACTTGGAGAACAAAATCCCCTCAAGATCTCTGGCCTACTCAGATAACAGAGCGGCAACATGTTGTCCTGGTCCTGGACAGCAGATGGCAATAGTAGTCCCTTGTATCACTAGGGGTTAGTGATAGGATTTAAGGCAGAGCTTCTGGAACCTGCATGCAAGTTGAGAAACTTCTGTTATGTATGTAACCATCTCTACCCTTGCCCCATGCCAGGTCAGAGCTTAACACTTGGAGGATTCTCAAAAAATAATCCATTCCATGCCTCCATCTGTTGTGCCCAAAGCAGGGAGTCTGGAAGGAGTTCCCAGAGCCTACTTACTCTGGGATTTATTGCCCTAATGTGTGTGCCTTTAATCCCATTCCCACTTTAAGATGTCCCAGAAGAAAAGGAAGAGTGCATTATGGAGGGTGCCTGAGACTTTGTAGGCCTGACCTTAAAAGCAGCACACTCTAAAGAGAGGTTCAAGAGAGATTATTGGGAGTTACTGTGATCCTACTTGGATTCTGCTGGAATTCTGTTGTGGCACTATTGCAGTTCTGACCCCCTTAGGGGCATATAGAAGTCAACTCTCAAGCAGGGCAGACAAGGCCCAGTGGGTCTCTCACAGAACCATTCTTCATGTGTTATCTGCTGACTACTTAAGTTTATTTTACTATGGAGAAAGATAACCATAACAGAGCTCTTTCCAGCCTCCAAGGCAGGAGGTCTCAGAAGTCATTTTGTCTCCAGCCTCTTGAACACTTCTTCTTAGGCCCCACATTCAAAAGGGGAATGCCAGTGTGGGGGCCCAAGGGTGCATAGAGATGCACCTTCAAAAACATCCCAGTTTAATATGGAGAAGTTGAACTCACTCTGAAACAGAGGAAAGGGTCCCAGGAAATTTTCTAGGAGTACAGGAGATACTAGTAGGTGAAAATCATATCCTTGGTATAACCCAGCTTCTCCAGGTTGGGATGAGCCGCTGTCTGGATCAAGGCTGGTGGGCCACAAACCAGGATGAGTGTGGTTTTCCCAGGGGGTGGGAGGTGCTGCTTGATCATGTCAGCAGTCACAAAGCCTGAGCTGTACTTCCAGCCTGAAATGAAGCACAGCAGGAAAGAGTCACGGGGTAGCAGGCTAAGCCCCCTCCATGCTAGGCTTCTGCCCTCCCTCCTTTCAGCTAAGTAGACCAGGCTGCTCTATAAAGGCTTAGAAGTCTGTACTGCAGCTCCCTGTAATAAGCCCAAGAAGAGGATAAGGGGACAGAATTTACCCCATATTCCAGGCATGGCTGGGACTCAGAGGCCCCTGCTGATGACTGACTTCTGTGAGCACTGAGGAGGGTGAAGGACTTCATGATGAGGTGTACTAGAGTATAGTGAGTCAGGATAGTGAGCTGGAGCTGTCAGGGCGTGGTATGGAATAGTGTGGGGTTTGTGGAGTTGGGCAGTGCCATCTGCTGGGAAGTGAGCCATATGACAAGACAGGTACAGATAGGTACAGTGTGTGAGACATGCCACACAGGGTACATTGTGCATGATGGTTCCTGGGGTGCTGGCTGAGGCTTAGCATATGACAACTGCTGTCCAGATGAGATGGATAGGGAGGGCTGCAGTGGCCATGAACAATGACATGACTGGTGAAAAGACCAGTGGCCATATCAGCTGCAGTATGTGTGATGGCTGTGGTGTTGAGAGTAGCCCTGGGGCTCAGTGTTCCTTTTGATGTTCAGTACAATTCATGGAGTGCTCCTGAGATACTGGACACATGCCTTCTGTCACCATTACAAGCAGGCCATCCAAATCCTATCTCCCTCAACACTTGCATTTCCCATATGGATCCAGAGCCCAAAGCCAAATGCTCAAACTCGGTCCTCATAAACAAAATAAGAGGCCAGTCCTTGAGGTGGATCAAAGCCTGGAGCTGACCCACAGTGAGGGAAGCAACAGGGTTTGTACCAAGGGGAGGCCTGTCCAGGGTGTACCACAGTTTGAACTGGTTTAGGTGAGTCTTGGCAATTTCTTCCAGCTCCTTTCTCATCAAGATATCCTCCTCTGTCTAGAAAAGAAGGAACATTATAAAAGACCCTCCAGGGACAGCCTGTATGTCCTCCCACACACTCCTGCCCAAGCTGCCACCACCCTTGCTTGAGTGTATGCAGTAGACTCCCAGGATAAACGAGGGTTCTGCTGCTCCTACAGAGCAAACCCATCCTCTTATGGAGGGAGCTGCTGGGATGGTGACATTTTCCACAATGCAGCAGTAACTGCTGCTAAAAGACTGTGGCTGTACAGGCTGGGTGGCTTCACTTGAAAGTCCCCATCCCACCTCCTATATTCACTTTAGGCACCAGGAATGGCAGAACCAACTAGAACAAGCTCACTATAGGCTCAGGTCTTCTGCAAGAAAGTAGGGACTAAGAAGTCATTCAGGAGACACTACCAAAGAACTACAAAAGAAAACAGACTGGAGCCTCATGTGGGAAAAGAGAGCCAAAGTCACTTGTCACAGGCTCAGAGTACACAGAAGGTATGGATCATAAAACTCTTCAAGACTCTTGTCTCAGTTTTCCACTTCCGAGGTTCCATTTAAGAAAATAATCTAGAAGTCATCAGGCCTAGGTACAATTATTCCTCATTGTATCATTTAGCATTAATAACTGAAAACTGGAAAAAATGTAGATTTAGTAAATCTAAACTTGACACAGACTATGATGAAAATATTCATAGAATTTTTTGTCTTTCTATTTTTTTGGCCGGGGGGGCGGGGGTGTAGCACATACTAGGAATTAAACCCAGGCATGCTTTTCCACTGAGCCACACTCCTAGCCCTTTAAAATTTTTCTCCTTTTTAATTTTCATTCTGAGTCAGGGTCTCACTAGGTTGCTTAGGGCCTGGCTAAATTGCTAAGGCTAGCCTAGAACTTGCAATCCTGCCTCAGCTTCCTGAGTCACTGGGATTCTAGGCATGCACCATTGTGCCCAGCTCATAAAGAGTTTTAAGGGGAACAAAATGCCTATGTGGTAATGCTAAGTGAAAACAATATATACACACATGCCCACCACACACAGAAATATATAGCACATAAAAAGAATAAGTAAAAATATATATGTTTTCTCTATTTTTTTCCAAATTTCCACTGAGAGCATCTATGATTTTGTACTCAGAAAATCAAAAATATGTATCAAGGAAGGAAGAAATAAGTATCAAGGAGATACTGATGCTACAGCATTGGCTGGGATGACAGAAAAGTTAAACAAAAACAAGCAGTAAAAGGAGCCTGGATTCAGCTTCTCCAGCTGCCCACTAAGCCCTCCCACAGCCACAGGCACCCAAGAAGCAAGCGCTTGGTCAGTGGGGGAGGAATGAATGCAGAGCCCCAGATCAGCAAACATTCCATTCTCCCTCTGCAAGCTCAGGGCTGACTCGGCAGAACTGACCTGGTTGGCAAAGATGAGGGACATCCTGGTCTTGTCCATGGGGTTCTTGGTGATGTGGCGTATGAGCTGCAGCATGGGCGTAATGCCTGGAACACAGTTAGTGGGCAGGCAGAACAGCTTCTCCTGTCCCCTGGCCTGCAGCAGCTTAGCAGTTTCCCTTAGCCCTGATATCTTTTCACTTCTGTCCCCAAACTAAGTGGGGAACAGTCCATCATTTTATTGTCCCTTTTAAATGCAACAGTAATTCAAAAGCCCTTTTTCAGTTTCATATGGCAAAATGGAAAGAGAATTCTGAGCTCTTAAGTATACTCATTTGCAAAACAGAATTAGTTCCTTATTAATTAATAAGTAAATGTGATGCTCTTTAAAGTGCCTATGATGGTACCTGGCACACTGTATGTCTCCATGTTTGTTCTCTTCAGTCAGTTATTCATTCCCAAGGGTTGGGAGAATTGGGCTTGGAATGAGTCTAGAAACTGCTGGAGACCAGGGGCAGTCCAGTCGGCCCCACCTGGCCACATAGCCTCCACATGGCCCAGGATTTCCATGTAAGACTCTCTGTGGCCCTGGACAGCCTCCACATTGGTTCAGAGGAGCAGGGCACACAGGGCCAGGTTCAAGACCTATACTAATTCCACATTCCCACCACCATGGCTATAGAAGGAATCTCTTGTGCCATGCCTTCTCCAATAACTCCAAAGTCAAAGTCAGAATTATCTTAGGGCTCACCTTCTGGATGATACCCCCAGAAACCTCTTACCTGTGCCCCCAGCAATCATTCCCAAGTGACAGACCAGTTTTTTCTCAGGTATGCTCGTTTTGTACTGTCTGATTGCAAGGTTTCCTGGAAACACAGAGAATGCTTCTAATTTCTGCAGCTCTTGTCTGGGAGCGTGCAAAAGACTATTGACTTTCTTTAGGATTCCCAGGAAGCAAGTCCATCTTAGGGACTTGCCAGAGAAGCAGGCCATGATAGCTTCCTCTACCCGCCCCATAAGAGCCTGGGCCTCCTCAGGGAACCTCTGGGCCTTCTCTTCTGAGGCAAAAGGCAAGCTGAAGCTAATATGGAACCTCACAAAGCACTCTCACGCAGTGTAGCAAATGCAAGAGAACAAATCAGCCTGGATTCCACCCATCATCCATTTTCAGTATTATGTCTCAGGCTCTGAGTTGGAGATACAGTGAAGACACACATAATGAAGATTAGGACCTTGTGAGGTGGGTATATGGATGACAATAAAACCAGTGCAGGAATCTCCTTTCTCCCAGCTGGAGATTCAGTGTGATTACCCCAGTACCTTGCCCTTGGTAAAATAGGCGCCCCGTTGGTCCTCGAAAAAGGATAGTGTCCCCAATTTTCATTTTCTCCAAATACTGAGTCATCTTCCCCCCTTCAGGATAATGAGGGTGTACATTTTTGAAGTAGATCTGAAAAACAAGGCAAACTGATTTTCACATGCTCAGATCTATGGCCCTAGCTGCACACAACTAGAAAATGCATCTGCTACAGAAAGCCACACAGGGAAAATGACCCACTCCCACAATTGCTATGGGCAATACCTAAAGACTGCACTCAGTTTACTATAGCTCCACTGTTAAATGACACTGCTGGAAAGTCCTGCTTGGGGCATGAGCAACCTCACAGAAAAAGTACTGCCCTCTACCCTGACACCCACAGTAAACAGCTGCACATGGTGTTTTTTTTTTTTTTTTTTATCTTTATAATCATTTATATCATTTACCTTTATAATTAAGTCCACAAAGCCTTTGTCATCATCACTTGAGACAGGTGTGTATGCCCTGATCACGAAATCATTATCAATTCTGGCCATGAGATGGACATAGTTACCTACAGAAGAGGCACCAAATATTAGCCTGAGCATGGCCAGCCTAAGGAGCACCTGGGAATCCCAGAAAGGACTATACTTCAGTGAAGGAGCAAATGCTGCAGCAAGATGTAAAGAGGGGGCAAGCGGGGAAGGAGCTCAAATCCAGGATCCAGGAGAGGCTACTTTACCTCTCTGGATTTAGTCTCTTCATCTGTAAAATGGGGATGATGAGCTTCGGGTTGTGGCTTAGTGCTAAAACACTTGCCTAGCATGTGCAAGGCTCTGGGTTGGAACCCATTAACACCCCCACCCACCACACACACATACACAAGTGGGGGTGATGATATACCTGTTCAGATGTGATCATAATTTAAGTAATTTGTAAAGGAAGAGAAGCTAACTGAAATTGGAGGGTGAATTTTGCTTCCAAATAAAAATGTTATCTTTATAAACTCATTTCTTCCTGAACTGGATGTACCACTGGGGTCTGTGAATAAGTCACAGCTACCCCATCTGTATCCTAGTGCCTGGCACAGAACAGGCCTGGGATTCATAGACACTGCAGGGCCCCAGTATCTGGACACCTATGGACCAAATAAAGCAACACCACTGTGTCTTTCTGACCTGTGGCTCCACTGAGTGACAGCAATAAAAATTCTGAACCATGAAATTCTGCCCCTCCAGAGTGGAATTCATCACACTCGTATGACACTGAGACTAAGCCCAGTATCAGATGATATGCTGGGCTGCTCAGACTTCTGTTGAATCTAAACTGGAGACTCCAGTGACCATGGCAATTAGTGCTGAGGGTAAGAGTTGCTACCAAGAGGCACTAACACTATAGGCAAGAAAATAATACATGTCAGTTTCTGAGGAAGTAGAAACTGGTTTTCCCAGGAAATTAGAGACTTTAATGGAGACTTAAGAGTAGAGATAGAGGCTCTGTCTCAGGGTAGGGAAAAGACGGTAGGGAGGAGGAAAGGTGGTGGAGTGGAACAGTCAAGAAGCCAGTCCTTGAAATTGTTTCTGGAGCATAAACCAGAGTCTTTGAGGAGGCCCTGAGGTCTGAGGTGTAAGCACACTTGATGACTGACTGTGGTGTAGCCGGGTACCAGGGATACTCAGGCACACAGGCCTGGAGCAGCCTCCTTCTGAGAGCTCACTTGATACTGGGAACCTGGAAAGGCTGTTCAGATGCAGCTAACCTGGGCTTGGTCTAGCAGCATCCCCAGACAACTTGTGGCTGACCCACTGGTCCCTTGGGCCCTATCTCTAACTAGCTTAATTTCAGCTAAGTTGAGAAGCATCAGCAATATCCTGTGTCCTCATATCAAATTCTCTCAGAACTCACTAAAATTACCCTGATCCCACTAACTGCACAGCTTCCACCAGGACCAAGAAAATTTTATTTCTCCAAAGTTTTTCATTCTTTTACTCTTTCTACAAACAGGACTGGTGACAGGCCAGTCAGAGGGCTGGAAGGCAGCAGGACATTGCACTGTCATGCACAGAGAAGGAATTAGGGAGCATCAAGGAGGGTGATGGGCCAATCTAGCTGCCTATGTATAATTTTATTCCCTATAGAATTGAGGTTAAGGTTTTCTCTTGTTCATATGAGAAGAGTAGGCTGAGGATTAGGATATCTAACAGGAAGCAAGCCACACAAGTAGTTTATACAAAGTTTCTCTGGATCCCTAGGCCCTGAAGTTTTCCACCTTACAGACTGACTCAGCTGTCTAGAGGTGTTACAGATTGAAAACAGGGTAACTTGGAATTCTAAGACTGCTAGGACTGATATCACAACAGTTCCTGCTTGTGTAGATCTGGGGACCCTATAGAAAATCCACAGTGAGGGGAAGGCACCTGCCTACCCCCACATTCTGAGCATTCTCCTAACTGCAGAGGAACATCAATTCCTCCTTTCCCTCCTATGTACACAATGCTTTGCAGTTTCTGAATTTTCATATCTGTCAATCACCTTACCCTCACTATAATGTAAATGAAGCAGGTAGGCAGGGCTTGGGAAATCCCAATTCATAGACTGAAGATCAGAAAGGTTGAGAAACTTGGTTAACGATGCCCATCAAAGAACCTTCCAAGGAGCCTTCAATGAGATCTTAGATCTTCTGACTCTAGCATCATCTCTTTTCAATGCTTATTAAGATACCACTTTTAGTCAGCCCAAATGGAATAATGAAGAATGATCCCAAGCCCATTTTCTTCTCCCTGAGCCCATATGGTTCAGGAAGAGTATCAGGGAAACCTCGTACCTCAGGAGGTTGGAAACATGTGCTTCTGATAGGAACAGAGTACCTAGCCCTCAAAGGCTGAGCCCTGGAGATGATACGAAACCCCACTCACCTACAGGAAGCCCTAAGACATGCTCTGGAGAGGGCAATCCAAAGCGGAACCGGCGGGTGTTGTGGTTGATTTTCTAGTAAAAGAAAACAGAGGCAGGCTCTATCAGCTCTAGAACTCTTGCTGGGAAGCTCAAATTCCTGGGAAAATAGCTCCACTGGCCCATGATATGAGTCCACCCCACTTTCCCATCCAATATTCCCCACCACTTCTGTCTCCTGTCTTTCACCCAACCAAGGGGAGGGGTTGGGCTGATCCACTACCTCTTTCTCAATCAAAGGCAATGGGTACTTGGCATCAGGGTCCTGTAAGGTGATAGGATCTCTTTTCCTGGAGTTCATGTTCTTCAGGGCAAACACAAGCACTGTAACCCCAACGACCGCAAGGGCCAGCAGCAGGGAAGGGTCCTGGCAGACACAATGTGAACAGTACATCTCAGGTCTTACCATCCCTAAGCAGCACAGTGCTCAGACACAGCATCCTCCCAACCACAGCGTCCTCCCCACAGGAGGAAGCAGGCTACACTAACAAAAAGCAGGTTGAGCTTCTGTGTACCAGAAGGTAGGGAGGGGGTCAGCTGCAGATACTGGTGGGAAAATGCTACTATCTCCAGGCCCCTCCTGCCCATCTGCCTCATCCTGGCTACAGCCAAGGGTGCAAACTTTGGGAGTCCTCCTCCACGTGGGGTGGTTATGACATTACCTGTAACATGCAATACGGAATGAAAGCCCAAGCCCCCCAGGACAGAACCAGAGAGAGGGGTGGCTGCCTCCCAAGGTGGTTACAGCTGAGGGCAGGGCACTCCCCTTTTGGTCTGGGGAGGGTGTAGGAGTGAAGTAGCTCTAACCAGGGGATGTTCCACGACTTTGGGCACCCTCCAGAACAGGCAAAGGAGGCCTGGGCACTCACCTGCTAGAGGCTTGGCGGGCCTTCCCGCAACCGCCCTCAACTCTGCCACCGCGCCGGGCACGCAAGGCCAGCCTGTTCATTTCTCCACCCAAGCCTGGCCCGACCGGATTCGGTAAAGGTCGTTCGGCTTCTCCCACCCGATGCCCCGCCCGCACCCCGCCTTCTGGGAATCCGCCGCCCGCCCGCCCGCCCAGCCCAGCGCTCCCGCCCAGCCCAGCGCTCCCGCCCTGCGCGGTGCTGCCTGCGGCCTACGCGGCCTCTGTTCCGCCTCCCGCCCCCGCTTGGGTCTGTCCGACGTCAGGGCCCGTGGCTCTCCGTGCCTCCCGCCTCTTCCCGCCCTGCTGTTCCGCGGAACCCACCCGGAATGAGATGCCCAACATGTTAACGAACTGGGGCTCCCCGCGGAGCTCCGCCTGGCGGACTAGAGCGGGACTGAGGCCGGCAGCGGACAGCGGCAGGCAGGGGACCGCCAGCGGCCCGGCCTTGGCGGCGGCTGACTGCCCCCCCAGGGGCCCAGTCGAGGATTCTTTCTCGCGCGATGCTGGCTCTGGCCCAGCCCTGCCCCCAGGGGCACGCGGAAAACCGAGACTTCTGGGCTTGCAGGCCCGGAACCGGGGGCGTCCTTGTTCCTAGATTCCTAATTTGATCCTGACCCCCTCTGCCCCCCCCCCCCCACCCTTGCATACTGAAAGCAGCCATGACTGAGAAGTCAGTCCCTCTAGCTTATTTAAGTTGTGGCTTGGCTGGAGAAAGGGACATCCGAATGACTAAAGGAAGGGATGCTGCAAAGGGAATGGGAGTTGGGGGCCAAAAAGCAATAAATACATACATTAATTCAACACGTCTTGTGTGCTTCTCTTTTGAGCCTTGTCTTGAGCTGTGTGTTTGCAGAGTATGGTGGAATCAAAAGCTATCATTGAATTGAAGACATTTACTCAAAGTGTTCTCTCATTTCGCTGGCCAGTCCGTCCGTCCATCCATACATCCCTTGAAGAGAGATGGCAACAATCGTCCCTGATGGGATGGAAGCCAGGATGCGAGACACTGATGGTTGTAGTTATGGGGGTTCTTCACAGTGCCTTTCAGAACCTTGGTCTTCCACCCCAGCCCACCCTGTGCTAGAGGCAAAGGTAAATCCCTGCCTCCTGGGCCTTAGAGAGAGAAGCCAAGAACAAGTCCCCACCTGTTTTAGTTTGCTAGGACTGATGCCAGATACTGGGATCTTTTGGACTGGTAAGGATGGAAACAAAATCTGGTCACGTGTGAACATACAGGCATGACTTTTCCTGGAGCTTTCATTTAGGAAGAGAAACAGCTCTGACAAAATGTCAGACTGGGTCTCTGAACGAAAGAAGGAAGCTTAGTTTGTTGGTTACTTGCTGGGGTGGGAATGTGAATTAGCTTTAGGTGTACTCAAGAGTTTCAGCCTGGGCTAAAGATAATTTAGTACAGTTGCTGAACACACTAAAGCATTCCCACTTTAGGTAGCAGTTAGACATAAGCAGTAGGCAGGAGTTTAAGAAAATACTTGGTATAGAACTAAATGATTAACCAACAGCCCTGCTTCAGTGACACCTCAAGCTCTGAAAAGACAGCTATTTCAGGACCCTTGTCTGATCTCAGTCTTATAAACTATTCCTCTTACAACTGAAGAAAGAGATAAATTCAGGAGAGGATGAAGATAGGTTTCCTCAGAAGGGCCTAATTGCTGAGGCATCTTATGCAAGACCCTACACAAACACAGACCAGAGATTTCCATACTCCGGAAAACAGGATAATTAAGACCAGAGCCCACAGCCCATAAATTCTGTTAAAAGAGTTCCATTTAGGACCTGTAAGCCAGACCAAGATGACCCAGAGTTGCCGTTAGGTTGTTAACTAATGTAGTCTGTCAATCCAGAGCCAAAAGTGATACTTGGGTGGGTGTTCTAAGGATCTCCCTCCTATTCCAAAAAAGGCTGGGACAGAAAGAAGTGAGTTGTCACTGTCCTCTCTGAGAGAAACCACTCTCTCCCTTGAGGGTGCTTCCCCCTTCTTTCTCTTCTAATAAACTTTGCTATACTTTTACTAAAAGTCTCATGTCTTGCTTGAAATCTTCTCATGAAGAAGAACTAAAAACATAATGCAATCTCCAGTAAGATCTCAGATGTGATTACATCTCTGTTTTCACCTTTCTTCAAGTATGCGAAGCCAACACTGGTTGAGGGTGGTGCATACTCCTGGTGTTTGCTGTCAGGCCATGAGCTTGCCCAGCACCAATAGTGCATTTGCCCTTTGTCCCTGTGGTGGTCCCTATCTCAGGGCTATTGTAACAAGGTACTGCAGATTGTGTGGTTTACCCAACAGAAATTTACTGTCTCATAGTTCTAAAAACTAGAAATCCAAAATTGAGATGTGGCTTCTAACCAGCCCACTACTGACTACTGTGGGCGCCCAGGCCTAGTCCAGATCTGCCCACACAAGCCTGTATGGGACCCAGGCTACAGTAGGCCTGGGTACACTCCTTTACTTGCAGGGCAGACACCCGCCAGAGCTCAGCCTCCAGCATAGGACCGCCCCTTCTCATCAGCAGACTACCACAGGAGCCCAGACCCAGCCCAGATCCACCCACACAGACTCTGTAGGACCCAGGTCCAGGGTAGGTCCGAGTTTGCCCCCTCCGCCCCCACCTGGGAGCCTAAGCCTAACCTACTTCCGTCTTGGAACACTGCAGTCATCACCATAGCCTTCCCCACGCAGTCCCTAACTTTTTGACAGTAGACAGGGCATAGAAGCAGCTGCATCTCAGAGCAGGCATCCCAAAGAGAGTGTGAGGCCCACCCTTTCAGCCCCATCTCTATAAGACATTGCTTCCATCTTGGGCACCTTAACTATTATTTCGAATTACCTCTGCTATTGCCACCACCATCTTTAGATGCAGTAGTATACATTGAGGGACACCAGTAGGACTCGGAAGCCCAACATCAAGGTGAGGTACAGACAATCTGCACAAGAATATAGGGAAGAAACTGTAATAGCTCAGATCCATGCTGCAAGAAAGGAAGACACATAGACAACATGAAAAAACAAGAAAGGAAAGTGTCCCAAACAAACTATATAGTATATACTACTATAATAAACAAAATCCATGGACAGAGAAATTGGTGAAATATCAGAGAAGGAGTTCAAAAAGTTCATAAGTAAAATGGTCTGTGAATTAAAGAATGACCTAAATGAGCAAAAATTGTTCACTCCAACAAAGAGATAAGAGAGCAAATCCAGGTAGCAAAAGATTACTTCAAGAGAGAGATAGAGACTTGGGGGGGGGGGGAAAGTCAGAAATCCCTAAAATGAAGGGTACAGTAAGCCAAATAAAAAAACTCAATTGGAAGCATAACCAACAGACTAGATCACTTGGAAGAAAGAACATCAGATAATGAAGACAAAATATACAATCTGGAAAATAAAGTTGACCACACAGTGAAGATAGTAAGAAAACATGAACAGAACATCCAAGAATTATGGGACAGCATCAAAAAACCAAATCTAAGAGTTATTGGGTAGAGGAAGGCATAGAGTTTCAAACCGAAGGAATGCACAATCTCTTCAATGAGATAATATCAGAAATTTCCCAAGCATGAAGAATGAATTGGAAAGCCAAATACAAGAGGCTTATAGGACACCAAATGTACAAAATTACAACAGATCTACACCAAGGCACATTATAATGAAAATGCCTAGCATACAGAATAAGGACAGAATTTTAAAAGCCACAAGAGAGAGGAATCAGATCATATATAGGGGGAGACCAATTCGTATCTCAGCAGATTTAACAACCCAGACCCTCAAAGCCAGGAGATCGTGGAACAACATATACCAAGCTCTGAAAGAAAATGGATGCCAATCAAGAATCTTATATCCAGCAAAACTAAGCTTTAGATTTGATGATGAAATAAAAACCTTCCATGTTAAACAAAAGTTAAAAGAATTTACAAGTAGAAAGCCTGCACTACAGAACATCTTCAGCAAAATATTACATGAAGAGGAAATGAAAAACAATGATGAAAATCAGCAGAGGGAGGTATTACACTAAAGGAAATTTTATTCAGAGGAGGAATCAAGTCATGTTAAATACCAAAAACAAACAAAAATGGCTGGGAATACAAATCATGTCTCAATAATAACCCTGAATGTTAATGGCCTAAACTCATCAATCAAAAGACATAGACAAGCAGATTGGATTTAAAAAAAAAAAAAGACCCAACAATATGCTGCCTCCAAGAGACTCATCTCATAAAAAAAGACATCTACAGACTGAAGGTGAAGGGTTGGGAAAAATCATACCACTCGCATGGACTGCAGAAGCAAGCAGGGATTTGCTCACATCAAATAAAGTAGACTTCAAGCTAAAGTCAATAAAAAAGGATAAAGAAGGACACTACATACTGCTTAAGGGAACCATACACCAACAAGATTTAACAATTATAAGTATATATACCCCAAACAATGGAGCGTCTGTGTTCATCAAACAAACTCTTCTCAAGTTAAAGAGCCAAATAGACCACAATACAATAATTTTGGGTGACTTTAACACACCTCTTTCATCACTAGATAGATCTTCCAAACAAAAGCTGAAGAAAGAAATTATAGAACTCAATACAATCAATAACTTAGACTTAACTGACATATATAGAATATTTCATCCTTCAACAAGAGAATACACTTTCTTCTCAGCAGCACATGAATCCTTCTCTAAAATAGACCATATATTATGCCACAAAGCAACTCTTAGCAAATATAAAAAGGTAGAGATATTACCCTGCATTCTATCAGATCATGATGGAATTAAATTAGAAATCAATGATGAAATAAGAAATAAAATCCACTCCAATACCCGGAAACTAAATAATATGCTACTGAATGGACAATGGGCTGCAGAAGAAATCAAGGAGGAGATTTTAAAAATTTAAGAGGTGAATAAGAACACAGATACAACATTGAAATCTCAGGGACACTATGAAAGCAGTTCTAAGAGGAAAGTTCATTACACGGAGTTCATTCTTTAAAAGAAGAAAAAGTCAACAAATAAATGACTTAACATTACATCTCAAAG